TTTTTTTTTTTTTAAATGGGAAAAATTAACTTACATCCTATTATGAAAGCATATGACTGAGTTACATGTACATATGTATCCTTCTATACATTTATGTACATTCGTTTTCTACCTATTTAGCAACTAATAGCTTTCATCTAGCGCAATTAAATACTAATAACGGCATAGACTTTGATTTTCAACCTTTTCATGTTCTTCTTCTTTAAGAGTTTGCTTTTCACTGCTTATCATAATCCATGTGCACTATACAGCTTTTCTTAACAAGCATATATGTACTAGTTTTCAATTCAATATGCTTATGGTTTTACTAATATGCTTACCTTTCCTTAAATCACTTACGCTCTGGTGTATTTTTTTGTCTTATCTTTAATCTGTTAAAAGTTTAACTTTTATGGATATTGCTGTACTGCATTCGTCTCTCTCGCTCTATGTAGTATTTTCTCTAACTTTCATTCTCTTTTCCTCGCTGCTATTGAATCCTTATCCACTTTTCTTATAATCTACTTCAACTTTTCTGCTTTGTTTAAGCACACTGTCTCTTTTTTAACTGGCTGAATTACGGGGTGTTCGCCTAGTAGCAATGTCTATCATCTCATTTTTCACCGCTATTCTTCTGATCGTTTGGCAACACTACTACGCAACATACGATATGAGATTGTTATCATTTGCTTCATATCGCTAACTCTGTGTGGCATTAATGCTTTGTTGTTGTTGTTGTTGTTGCTGTCCTTTTTTATAAGTTATAAGTTAGCATTTTTTGCTTACATGTTAAATTATTACATTAAAATAGGCACAGGTTATGAACTATTTCTACTAATATCATCAGCCCAGTAATTATACATATGTAGATACATAGAATAATGCAAGCACAAATTCTCGAAATTCTCCCAGTGTTTTTGTTAGCGTCGCTCAAGTAATATGCATGTATGTAAGTATGTAAGTGTGTTACCACTACTGCTATATGTGAGTGTATGTGTATGTATAAGGTATTGACCACCAGTCGCATAATGTAGTGGCTGTAGGACTATGTTAAAGTTCCTAATCACGTACTTAACTTACTAGATTTCTAATAGTGTGCTAGAATATGGTTTGGTTGTATTTTGAGTGTGTATGCATGGGCAAATAGACTGAGCGCGCGCGACAAACTCTTCGTTGTGCTTTTGAAATGCTTTACGATATACTCCTTCCGGCCGGCCACTTCGGATCGTGGTCGTTTGTGTGGGGAGTTGGCGATGCTTATCAATGACAGCTGTTGCAACTCCAAGGCTTTATGCAGCACCGATACAGCCCGCTTGATGATAATACATCTCCTTTTTATTTGCTCGTACTAGACCTACTGCTACCGGATTGGTGCTTCTTTCTGCGGTCGCCTCCTTCACGGTTGCGTTGTTGGCCTTTTTTTTTTTGTTTATTTGAGAAAATAGAAAAAAACCACTTGGTATAAATCACTGCAAGACACACTTAATAAACAGGAATCACAAAACACAATGGAAATCTGTTTACATTCAATGAACAAAAAAGCTTTAAATGAAAAATGTGATTAATTTTTTTTTTAGTTCCAGATGTGATGTGTGTATGTTTAATACACCTTGAGTGTGAGAAAGTTCAATTGTGTTTTCGTTTCTACCAAAAAATGTCGGCTTTTCATCGCCATGCTCTCTTTTCGTACTCGACTCTTAACATAAAGGCAACCCGGTGGGAAAATTGTGTGTTCGTTTCTTAAAATTTTACACTTTCTTTTGTCAGATTGTTGCCCGGAAAAGCAGATTACTTAAAATGACAATATTATGAAATGCGTAAGATAGACAAAGATAAATCGGCAAAACACGCACCTTTACAGGGTTGAGTGTAACATAAAATAGATTTTGCACCATGGAAGGGCAACATTTTTTGGTAGAAACGAAATCACCATACATTTAAATTCAGTATGTTTATAAAAAAATCGTTCAGACTAAAATAAAATTAATAGGCCAAATAGAAAAAACTACTAAATGCAATATTTAACATTTTTGCGATTTTATTAAACTGGTAACTGAGTTTGACAAAAATAATTAGCTTCAGTGGAAGTAATATGAAACGGCGAAACGAAGCCCATATTTGGATTACTGTAAAATATTGATGCAACTTTTGGAACGTATGTTAATGTTTAACGCAAAATTACTATCCAATCCAATATGTTAATAAATTTGTAAACTCTCTTTAAACGCGAAACGTGTTCTCCATAACGACGCGTCCCTAATGCAAAAACATAAACAAGGCAAATATTCCGGAACGACACGTATATTACGCGATATATTGAAAAATTGCTGTAATTCGCTTAGGGCAAGAAGAAAGCTCCACCCTACAGAATATCGGTAACGATATTAACAAGGTCATTTTTTTTTTTTTTTTTTTTTTTTTTAAATTGAAAAAAGAATTCCGAATAATAAAACGTTATGTAGTACTACTTCCATTTAATTGATTAATTAATTTTTCTGATATAAAGTCCTTGTATAACCGATTGTGCTTTGCACAGCAAAGACCGATCTGATCTCACAACGATTAAAAGCATACGAACCGAGAATTATTACAATACCGCGGCACAAAATTTTTGAAAATAGAAAGTTTGGACGTTTGTTCGTACATAATGCTTAAAAACACTACATTCACACCAAACTCTTTATCTATTAGTTAAAAGTAAAAATATATTTGAAAAAAAAAACTCACCAGATTTTGATGTTGCTGACGCTGACGCCGACTCAGAACTGTCCGTCGATGATATCGATGCCACTGAAGACTCCGATGATATGGAAATTATGGAAATGGTCGACGAAGCAGACGTGAGTGTCGTACGTTGCAATGGACCAGAACGAGAAAACGTTGGTGGCGGCGATGCAGCTCTCGAATTATAACGTTGTTGACGCATTGCTGGTTGTTGCATACGTTGCTGACGCAATTGTTGTTGTGAAGGACGTTGTGCATAGCGTGATCGATTATTATTGTTATTGCCACCATTATTGTTGCTATTTCCAACATAGCTGGAAGTGGAATTCGTGTACGATTCTGTAGAAGACGATTTGGATATTTGCTGTTGCTGTTGCTGTTGATATTGCTGTTGCATCGGAGGTGGCACATAGAATTGTTGACGGCGATTTGATGTACCGGAGAACCTCTGTTGCGCTTGCTGCTGCTGTTGTTGCGTCGATTGTTGCGTGTGCATCTGTTGTTGTCGTGGCGGGGATAATTGCTTTTGTTGCTGCGGCGGCGATGGCTGTTTTTGCTGCCGTGGCGGAGATTGCTGCTTTTGTGTAAGCTGCTGCGGCTGTTGTTGTTGCTGTTGCGAACATTGCGTGTGCATTTGTTGTTGTTGTTGTTGTTGTTGCAGCTGCTGCTGCTGCTGCAGGGCAAATTGCTGATGTTGCTGGGGCGGCAATTGTGACTGCTGCTGCTGCTGCTGTTGCTGCTGTGTGGATTGCGGGTGTTGCTGAGTCAAATGCTGCATTGCTAAGCTCGACTGTTGCTGGTGCTGTTGTTGAAGATGCTGCTGAGAAATCTGTGCATATGGTGGTTGTTGATGATGTTGTTTTGGACTTTGATATTGCTGATTGATCTGGTGCAGCGGCAGAGGCAGCAGCATTGGCGGTGGCTTAATTAATATTTTTTGACGAACACTTATTTGACTACTACCGCCACCACCATTACCACCAATACCGTGTGGACAAGCAACAGCAGCGATATGGCCGCTCACATTTACACCACCAGCACCACCAACACTGCCACTGTCTTGAACGTTGGTACTGGTGTTGATTTGAGAGTTGACAGCGATGTTTGTGGTTACACTGGAGACAGTGTGATTGCTAACCAATGACGCTTGTTGATACTGCTGCTGTTGCTGATGTAATTGTTGCTGCTGCTGTTGTTGTTGTAACTGCTGCTGCACCAGACCAGCAACTATTCATCATGTATCCATACGAGACATTGTATGAATATTCGCGGAAGAGGTCATGGCGGTTGGCGCCGCAGACGTTGCCGGCGCTATAATAAGTGAATTGCTTACCGGTGGAGATGACGTTGAGTCTACATCACATTCTTTGCTATCTTCAGAGTCTTCGCCCGATGAAACGCTGCTCCTTCGTAACCGTTGCGCCATCACGACTTGTTGCTGATGATACAGCTGCTGCTGCTGCAGTGGATGCATGTGTTGATGCTGCAGGGGTGGTGTGATAACGCCAGGAGGCAGCATCGATGGAATGAACTTAACTGTACTTCCATTGGGCGTATGCGGGACCACAAGATGCTCGAAGTGTTCTCGTATCCACTCACGGTAGTCTATCACATCGTCGGTTACCCGTATTATTCGTCCTGCATGAAAAAAATAAATAAAAAGATAATTCAAACAAGTAAATACCGACTTAGATAATAGTTTTTAGTACAATAGAAGTTACCTAGGATGGTACGTTCGGCGCAATTACTACCGAATTCGTTGAGTGGACTCACTGCATTTGCCAACAACATATACGCATACTCAAATGCTTGTTTCACCTGCAAAGCACCATATGAGCTACGCCCTATATCGTTACCCGGCGTTAGGGGATCCTCAATGCACAGCAATGACGGACGATGACCATCGATCATTTCACGTTGTAGATCCTCTTTAGGTATGTATCGCCCACCATTTTTGATCGATATGCCGATCTTCATGTAATTGAACTTACGTCCGTAAAGTTCAAAAAATTCCAGCAATAGCACACCCAAGTTGGCTTTGTCGTGGTCAATTTGATGCGGATGCAACTGCAGGAAACTGATACACATCAATATCAACGAGTATGAGGAAATGCCACCGGTAAAAACTTCATTGAGATCACGCTGCAGCAGGAATTGTTTCAGCACAAGCACCAGCTTCGCCAGCAATGGAAATTCCTGCTTATATTTCTTAATTAATTCGGCCGACTGCACCCCCGACTGCATATTGAATGAAATATCAACTTTGACTTGCGTTTCGCGATCTGTGAGCTTAATGATGGGTACCGAAGCTTTATCAAGTACACGCACCGAGTGTGGTTCAGCGATACCGCGAGCAATCAGTTCTGTTTCGAGAGTGCGCAAAGGCGCCTTCTCCCATAGTCCTATAGACGGTAAAAAATTGTTAATTAAATTTTTTTTTTGCATTCCTGTGAATGTAATTTTTTTTTGTATTTAAGTTACTTCTATCTTTTATCTGCAAAAACCAAACTTGTTTACGTTCAGATATCTATTACACCTTTATGGTGGTTATGACCAAAAAAGTTTAAAAATGGATATCGTTTTATAGAATAACGCCCAAAATTATAGAAAATTTAATGAATTTAAAATGTTAAAAAATAGCAATTATACGTGTATGCCACTTAAAAATAAAAAAAATTCAAACCAATTTTTTTTTTTATAAATATGTCCTGTAACTTTTTATTATGCTCAACAAAGCAAGTTTTTTGAAATATGTACCTTGCAACCGTGTATTTTTTTTTATGTAATTCGTTGTCCTTAATGTTATTCACACTTCCTTACCTAAAACGACCAAATCGATATCCGATGTGGGTAGAAACAAACCCGTGCGGAAGGAACCAAATATCTCTACAAGCGCCTTTGGCCATATTGAATGTACCACCGCTTCTATACGCTGCACTACCTCGTTGCGTATAGCATGTTCGGTGGGCGTGGGCAAGACGTAATTGTAAAATTGTTCGATTTCCTGATGTAAACCGATAATTCCCCGTCCATACTCAAAGCTCGGCACACGCCAAGGGCAACCTTTGTACTTGACAACTAATTTACCCATGTATTTGTTGAGGTTAAATGTGCTCGCCTTATTATCTACTATACGCCCAATTTTCCTGCGAGAGGGATTATAATAGCTTGGACGATCATGTGATGGCATTTTCGTGCTATTAATATCACCGCCTCCACCGCCTGGTGTGGTGGCTGGTGTGATGCAGTCGTTGTTACTCGTCGAGTCAATGGAGTTGTTGCTGGATGTATTGCCACTATTTGTGCCACTACTACCGTTGTTATTGTTATTATTATTATTATTGTAAATGGAGTTGCGAAAACCCCCGTTGCCAACTTGCTGCAGCAGCAATTGCAAAGAATCCCGATCGCGTGCACTCAACGTGCCGTTCAATTTGCTATTACCAACACTTTGTAGTTGTTGTAATTGTTGGCTTTGTTGTTCCAACAACTGGCTCATATCATGCGCAGTGGTCTCCCAAATTTTACACCATGTGCGTAATGCTGGACCCTCCTGTTCCTCTTGAAACCAGCCGACAAAAGGATCCATTCAAAGCAGTCTTCTACTCACGGAACGGGAATTGTATGCGCAATCCGCTTGGAGTTTCGCGTCGTCCGTTGCGAAGCGTTGCGCCTTGAATTCAATCTAATGTTCTATCTTCAACTCGTTTTGCACTTTAACACGTATAACAAACGAAATAAAAAATTTCCTTGTAGAACTTTTGGCAGTAACGTGAAACACCGCAGACGCCAGCATGTGTATTTATCCACGAGATTAAACTTAAACGTGCTACAACCGTTTCTAATGACAACAGCTAAAATAAAAGAGAATGAATTATTAAGTACATAAGTCCAATTATGTTAAGATATTAGATAAGCAATAAATGGGTGTGCCCATAAAGAGTATGTGTACCAGAAAGCCTATAGAGTTTCTTTTTCATTTGTAAACATACATTTTCATGCATATTAACTAATTTCTAATTACATACCAGATCACTTTCAGTTTCTGTGAACAAATTTGTATGCAATTTTACGCATTTTCCAATAATGAGAAAAGGAAAATGTGATGAGGGTAAATTAATTAGCACTATATACCTACATAAATAAACTAACGACGAAGCAGTGCGAAGAAATATTAAATATATTTAGCCAAATAAATTGCGAACAACTCACGAGACATGTAAGGTACTACAAGGTTGGCGATAGCAGGTGGGAATGCGATCGCATGGTGAATTAAGAAACGAGAAATTGAAGAAAATTAGTTTTTTCGGCGATGTACGTGTATATGTATGTATATAGTATGTATACATACATACGTATGTACATACGTACTAAGCATTAAATAGTAGAAACCACCTAACCGAGATGATAGTGCAAAGAAGCAAGTGACGTGAGGTTACTGCAGCGTGAAGCGGCTAATATTGAATTGGCGTAAATAGCAATGTACGTAACTACATTTTCCATATCCCATTCAAATGCTAAATTATCTTCAAACAACAATTGAAGATGAAGCTCACTTCAGTAGCAAAAGAAGCTTAAAAAAGACGGCAAACAAGTGGTGTGAATTTGTAAAGAGAACTTAACCTCAAATAATTATAAGTACAAGATGAGTTTTAACGGATAGCTTGGATATCTTAACTATTTATCAAATATTTTNGAAAAAAGACGGCAAACAAGTGGTGTGAATTTGTAAAGAGAACTTAACCTCAAATAATTATAAGTACAAAATGAGTTTTAACGGATAGCTTGGATATCTTAACTATTTATCAAATATTTTCTAACATTTAGCCTGTTCCCATAATTCAGGATTTACACAGTAAGTAATGCATAGTCAAAAGACGTTCCCGTAAACCCATTTATAATGACTACAGTACAATCTTCTATGAACGAAAGACATTGATCATGCCACCTTCCGGCTATTTCTGACTAAATCCTAGAGTACTTGAACAGGCTAGGATTTAGATTTCTACCACATTTATACCACACACAGCCACACGAGTGAAATATACAAGTCGCAATCCTCTTAATTGAACACCAACGATTAGTTGCATTATTCGCTTGCTTATTACCGCTAAAACAGTTAATGCATTTTCAATTGAATACAACAATAATCGCCGAAAAAATTAAACCGCACGAAATCCACTCCTATGATTTAATAAATTGTCTATTCACATTTTTAGCACTGTTGCTTTTGCATTTTCTTACGCATAAATTTGAGAAAAAAGTGAAAGAAAATAGAGGGAAAGAGAAATGATAAAACGCAATGACAACCAAACGCAACATGGCGACACCTAGCATCCACGGCACCGCACAGCAGCGAACAACGTCGTACGTCTTCA